GGGGGGCAAGGGTGGAGGGCATGCCCCCCTGAATTTTACCATAATTTGATGGGTATTTTTTACTTTCCCTCCCATCCCACACTTAGCTACCAATTGTCCATTTTACTAAATATTGATGCGCTGAACATGAATATCAACTTCATTTCCGTTGCAAATTGATCGTTTTAAAAATATTTGATTTTTCTTAATCGAGATATAAACGTGCTTTTAACCAGTCGAGAGGTTCCAGGGGAGGCCTGCCCCCCTGAGTAAAAGAAAATCTGGGGGATTACAGGGGGGCATGCCCTCCTGTTTTAACCTACAATTAGATATTTTACAAAGTTAGATTTGAATTTGACATTTTCTTGAAAATAATTGATTTGCGACATCACTAGTGCCTTTTTATGAGTGATATGCAGCAAACAGTACTGCAGTTTGACCCCTGCCCCAAGCAGTGCATATATAGATCTAAATCTAGGCTATGTGTGTGTGGGCGTGGGGGTGAAAGTGAAAATTTACCATCTTGAAGATTCAGCCTTTGAGGCTAGGTTGCTTCCCTGTTCTTTGTGTTGCCTATTTGGTCATCAAGACTTCCGGAGTTCTCTGGATGTAAACAAATGGATCGTTGACTATAACGAACGGAATTACAAGATCACCGATTCTAGATGTAGATCTAGATCTAGATCTAGCCTCCAGACTAGAGCCTACATGACCAGTCAATTCTTCAGAAAAGAGTTCGTAGACATTCTAGACTACGTTATTCAATACACACACCTTTAGACAATCATAAGACGTCAATTGAGCTTTAATTGCAAAAAAAAAAAAAAAAGAAAAGAATAAAATTCACATTTCGTTGTTTGCGGGCCGGCAAAAAGCCGACACGCTATGCTGAGGCAGACGATTGTGATTGGTGCTTTTTCGGTAGTTCCCACCCCCTTTATTTGAGCCTAGATCTAGATCTAGATTTAGATCTAGAGATCTAGGCTAGAGACACATCAAGATCTAGGCCTAGATATCTAGATCTAAATCTATACGTTTGATGCGCGGCGAGCTAAGATATCAAACCTAACAACTGCAAAACATCAAATTTATGGTAAAATCAGGGGGGCCCTGAAACCCCCCACCTTATTCCTATTAGAGGTCGGGGGGGGGCAAGCCCCCTGAAACCCCGTACTCTTGGGTCCAAAACCCGCGAATAACAATTGCGGGGTGGGAACTACCAAAAAAGCGCCAGACGATCTTGTTATCATTCTTTCAGATCAGTGTGTGATCAAATTGAGGCTGCGAACGGGACCCTGCCTGGTGACAGAACCTTTGTTGTACGCCAGCTTACATCTATTAAAGCGTCTAAAACAAGAAACGATATGAAATTTGATACCTGGGACAACGAGCCGAAGTACTCGAAAGTTAGGTATTCTGAGCTGAAGTAGATCTAGATCAATTCAAAGGGAAAATGTGTTGAAAATGCATCCTCGTGAAGTGGATCTACAATGGTTGGGGTACCAAAAACAACGAAGAGTAAAAGGACGAAGCGGAAATGCTTCGAATCTTAAATTTTATTTAATAATATCGGTTTATTAATAAGTTATTATTTTATTTTCTCTATTTTTTTATGAAAGGGAATACATTTGTTGTGTTTTTATTCTCTCCGTGAACTCCTAGTAAAAGCAAAATAAACAAGATTACATGAACATCATGGAAGATAAAAAGTAGGAGGTGGAGAAAGGAAGAAGTATAAAGAGAATGAATGAGATCAAAGAGTGAGAAAGAGAGAGAGTGAGAGAGAGGGAGAAAGAGAGAGAGTGAGAAAGAGAGAGAGAGAGAGCGAGAGAGAGAGAGAGAGAGAGAGAGAGAGAGAGAGAGAGAGAGAGAGAGAGAGAGAGAGAGAGTGAGAGAGAGAGACAATGATGCACACATAAAATAGAGTATAAATTTGGAATTTGTTTAATTCTCTGTATCATATATCTAGATATATATAATATGGAGGCAGACTATTGCAATCTTTCTTGCTTTCGGTAATTTGTTGCATTGCTTTTGTGTCTAAAAACTGATAGCGATGAATGCTTCACTAGGACTAGATCTACTCTTTTAAAAATTTTTAATTTAGGGCCTAGGCCTAGACTTGGTTTCTTCAAATCTTGCAGCAAACACGCCCACGAGGTGGCAGGCTGTTTGTTTTGAGAAATCCATTCAACAGATTTCCTCCCTATTATTGAAAACAGGATCCATTATTATTTCACAATTTAGTACACTGAAACGTTTCAAACTCAATTGAAACTTTCAAAGATAATTCATTTTATGTGTCTGTAAAATTTGAGATTTTGAATCTTCCCCAATATATGATTTTCTTTACTTTTAAGAGGAAAAAGCATACATCGTCTCCGATTATTCTACCTACTTAACCGCCATTTTGACCTAGTTTTATTTTTAGTTGTGGGTGCGTGCCGGAAAGTAAGCAAATGCCCACTTGGCCTAACAAAACGCAACGGAGGAATCTGCACTTTTGAATTCGCAGATTGTGTTGACACAAGCACAATGCACCATATATCATAGTGAAAATTACAGTCAAGGGTGAGTCTTTTCATTTTGAAAGCTCTCGAGACAAGACAAAACTCATTGTTATGATGCCCATTGTGAATGAAAAGCACAGATAATGTGCAATAACTGGGCTCGCAAATCTTCTTGTTATAACAGTGCAAGCGACACAAAGGCAAAATCAGCTGATCTTGATTTTTACGAAGTTTAAGAACTCTTGGTGTATGGCCATGTTTTCGCTTTATCTCAGTTCAAGTCAATATTTGTTTATTTAGAATGCATAGATCTAGGTCTATCTCTGAGCTATATATATGTAGAATCTAGCCTAGATCTAGATCTAGATCTAGACTTCTCTAGATTATAATAGATCTAGATCTAGAATAATAGATCTAGAGAATCTAGATGTGATAGGCCAAGAAAACCATAGATTAAGATTCTAGATCTCTAGATCTCTAGAATCTAGATCTAGAATCTACATAAAATCTAGAATCTAGATCTAGATCTAGATCTTGATCTATAATAGTCTATATTAGGAGGGAAGATTGAAGAATACCGGACCACTCGTACATCATTGTGCGAGAATGTGGGGTAGGTTGGAGGGGTGGAGGAAGGGGGGTTCAGGGGGGTCTCCCCCCTGACAAAATTTTATGGAATAGATCTACTGGTCCGAGATTCTCCATTGAGAGATATTGAAAACAGGAAAATTATGAATTCCTAAGGTTGAGACATACATAGGCAAACTCAGTCCGCTGGTCCGGTATTCTTCAAGGCCACCTCTATTCTCACCCGGAGTGAGAATAGTGCAGGCGAGTCTTGTGGCTATTCTCACCCGGTGCGCGTTCACCAAATTTTGCGTTCACCCTAAACCACAGAATTCTATACTGTGATAACAGAAAAATTGTAGAATTCTGTGCCGTGAAC